TGGGTGGCAGTACTGGCAGGCATAAGACACAGTGCTCTTAGGTAGGGCAGGACATGGTCACTTAAGTGTCTTGTAGCCTGATCTTGACTGAGGAAATGCCAGATGTGAAGGCATTGGGAAGGCAGGAAATCAGTGCTACAGGAGATGGAAGCTTTGCAACCAGGGATGGAGGGAATCCAGGTCTCAGGGGGCAGTCCTTCTCTCACCTCTCTCCGCCTTAAGGCTAGGAGAATCCACAGCAGCATCATAAAAACCTGAGGTCAATCTCAGGAAAGACTGCCCAGTAGGGCCTCTAATACCTGCAGATGGCCTGGGGCCTGTTGAGGCAGCTCACAAACTAGAAGGCAGGAGGAGATCTGCCCTGTCCCTGAGGGCAGAGCCTATAACTTAGTTCCTGCTTCATGCTAGGAGGATCTGATGGCTTTCTTTCCTCAAACCCCTGAAACTTGGGTCTCCTGAATCTTCACACTACACCCAGAATTGGGTCTCTACCATTTGGCCTGAGCTCTACTCCATTTATACCTCTGCTAAAGCCCAAAGCCCTCTAACCAGTTTCTATCGCTCCCCACCTCAGCATAGTCTAGCTTCTTACCTGCTATCCAAGGCCTCTTCCAAGGAAATCTTACGTCCCATAACATCCCTGTAGCCAGACCGGTTATTGACTGTCCCCTACCCAGGTCATACTTATTCTTGCCTTAAACCTTTGTCCCACACCTTTTCTCTGACCCAAGACACCTTTCATATTTCATCATTCTCCCTGCATCCTCTGAGACCCAGCTCAAGGATTTCCTCCAGAGTTCTCCCAGTCCCATTTATCATGCAGGACTCCTAATCGGTCTCTGAGAAGCCAGTTTGCTAGGTGTCCTCAGGACAGGCCCAATGCAAGAGCCCAGAGTACCTGTCCACAGCCTTGTTGGTTGAGGGAGAAAGTAGGTTGTTCCTGTCCCCATACAATGGGCCAGTGCCCCCGGGCCTTTCTCCCCATCTCCACTTGTGGTTGAGCACCTCCTTTTCCTTCCCTTGCTCAAGTGATGGATTTATTCCCCACTCCAGACCAAGAAAATTCAGTCAGGCTGCCAGAGGCACCGGAGCCTTGTTCTCCAGGACCTCTTTGGGCATTGAGGACCAGGCAGGATGGAGGGGAGATGCGGGGTGCAGACTCTTGCTATCTCAGAAGGTTGCCGGTAGGTGGTTAGACCTAAGAGGCAGCTGAATGCCCAGTTTTTCCTCATGGTGACCTCAAGATTTTCTGAACTTCAAGGATTCCAGTCAGTGCAGTTCCCTTCTAAGCTCCTTCCTCTGCCCCCAGGGAACAGAACATGCGACAACATCCCACACGACGACGTCCCACACGGAGATACCAGGCAGAGTTCAATGGATGACTGACTCTCCTCCAACTTGTGTCTTCTGAAGTCCCTCAGAGCTCTATTCCCTGCTACACGACTGTTCTTTCACAGGGGCACACAGCATAAACTCCCCAAACTCCAGAAGGTTCCCCTTTTCTCAGTCACGGTTTCCTTTGAGCACCTGCCTACTCCCTAGCTCACTTTCTTTCCAACACTCCCTGGAGCGGCAGGTAGTTTCCCAGATTTGGGGAGGTGCTCAGCGCTTCCTACTTGGCTTGATCCCTAATACCCAAGGGAACTCTCTCTCCTGGGCTGGGGAGCCCGCCTTGGCCATGCCCATGGGGAACCCTCTAGGTGTGCGGTCCCGCCCTCTAGCCTGGATTCCCCGCACTCCGCGCACTCACCGGTGATGAGCACCGCGCGAGTGGCCACCGGCAGGCGCAGCGGGCGCGCCAGGCGGGACAACGCGATCCAGCCGGCGGCAGCCAACACGGCGAGTGCAGCCGGCGGGGGCAGCAGGCGCTGGCACAGCCAGTCGAGCGCGGCCAGCAGCGCCAGCGCCGCCAGCAGCGGGCGGCCCAGACGCAGGTCTGCGCGCAGTAGCTGCAGCAGCGCGCGGGCCGCCACGAGCAGCCAGGCGCCGCCCGACGGCCAAGGCCAGCGCTCCATGGCGGCTGGGCCGGGGCGGGGCGAGGGCTGGACTTGGGAGAGAGGAGAGGGACTTGGGGCCGGGACGCAGGGTGCAGAGGTACACCAGATTGGGGCGGGAGGGATACTTTCTCTGCTGGCCCTCGGACCTAGCTTATAAAGAACCCCGGGGGCGGGACGAGGGCGGGGCGGAGGCGGGGCGGAGGCGGGGC